AGGGTCAGAGGGAGAAGCAGACTCCCCGCCGAGCAGGGAGCCCGATGTGGGACTCGATCCAGGGACTCCAGGATCATGACCTGAGCTGAAGGCAGTCGCTTAACCAACTGAGCCACCCAGGCGCCCATACTCATAGTGGTTTTAAGGGATATTTCACACCATGCAGGCTGATAGGATTATCCCATAGCTCAGGTGAGTCAAGAGTTTTCTAAGGGAAGGAGGTGCTTATTCTCTGGTGGTGTGGCTGGAGGAGAGGTGTCCTTAGGGAGGCCTCAGCAGGTACTGCTCCCTCAGCCGGTTTGTGGCTATGCTCCCCAGGTGTTAGAAGAGGAGCTCTCTGTGTGGCCCTAGCTTCAACAGTCACCTAAGCAGAGGTAGATTAACAAAATTGTCTGGAATTGAGCTTGTCATGGAGTTTGGGTTAGCATTTTCTTCTGGAACATTCTCTTACTGAAGTTGGCAGCTTACTCTGGGTGTGTGCATGCATTCAGCACCACCCAGTTCTGTCCAGAAGTGGGCTTGAGGTCACCATGGGGAGGACCAAGATGCTCTTCCAAAGGATTCCAGGTCTGCTGTAGTAGAGACACAGTTGTGCAGTCAGGGCCTTGACGTTCTACATCACAGGGCAGGCACAGACCTTTTACAGAAAATTAAATCGTATGCCTCTGAGTGCTCCTTTTGGACACTGAAATGATTAAATACCCATTAGGTAATTTAACTTTGAGCAAATTAACTTCCTTATACAAAATCAAGGTAAATGATTTACCACATGTGGCCCTGGTTGAATGAGATGATGTGTGTAAAGTTGTTCCCTACACATCATGATGACATTGGGCTAAAATCCTTGCTCTGAGCCATTACCTGTTAGGGTTGCTCCTATTTAAGATGGTAAACTATTTTTGTCACCCTCTAACAGAATGTTTAACTTTCTGTTTATGTGTGTCAAGAAGCACAGAAACAGGAAAAGCCACTCTCTTAGATTTTACTGGATGGAGTTCTTCACAAGATGGTCTAGAGAAAATAGTGTCAGGAGTGGACTTGTGCCTTTGGCTGATCTATGCCTCAGGGGTCACTTTGCCTTAAGAAGGATAGGATTAAAATGATCAAGCAGGGATTGGGATATGTTTAAGTGGAATGCCTGAAAAGAAATAATCTGTCTATAATGTGGAGCAGTGAAGAGTTAGCCATTTTTAATGGAACAGCTCTTTCTGGGCCTCCAGATTCATGGTCACAGAGGAGCTAAAGCAAAATGGTTTGGTAATGATCATAGCCCACTACTTAGAGTTCTGGGGGGAAGGAGCCTTCTGTCTTAGTCAGTTTTGGCTGCTATAACAAATTACCATAGGCTGGGTGACTTGACCAATTTCTTCCTCACAGTTGGGGGCTGGGAAGGCCAAGTTCATGGTGTGGGCAGATTCAGGGTCTGGGGAGGACTGATTGCAGGTTTGCAAATTGCCATCTTATAGTTGGGTCCTCACAGAGGGTTGGGAGCTGGACAAGATTTCTGGTTTCTTAGTGCTGCGGTAGGCACTGAATCCCATTCATGAGGGCTCTATCCTTATGACCTAATCACTTACCAAACGTCCCCAAGTCCTAAGGCCATTACGTTGTGGGTTGGGATTTCAACATATCTTCCTTAAATGCTTTATATACCTTTAGCTCTTATTCTGATAGGAGGGAACGTTTATGGGAGTCTGTCAAATGTACAAAATTCTGGGGAATTAATCTTAGTTTGTGGAGGGGCAAGGCAAGATTCCTAAGTTGCAAGTAGGATTCAGTCTTTAGACTCTCACCTGATTTATGCTTTGGGGATTGATCCCAGTATTTGCTTTTGCCACCAAAAGCACTGGCCAAATCTGGGTCTCCCAGGTGGATTTATGTATTTATTTTTATTTTTAAAAATTTTTTGAAGATTTTATTTATTTATTTGATACAGAGAAACATAGCGAGAGAGGGAACACAAGCAGGGGAAGTGGGAGAGGGAGAAGCAGGCTTCCCGTGGAGCAGGGAGCCCGATGTGGGGCTCGATCCCAGGACCCTGGGATCATGACCCGAGCAGAAGGCAGACGCCTAACTACTGAGCCACCCAGGCGCCCCCCCGGTGGATTTATGATAGAACTTTTCAGGTGCAGGGAAGTCTGTAATAAGCTTTCCTTTTATAAAAAGATCCTAAGGGCCACTTCCTGCCTTGCCTTAGTAAATGCAGGTTACTGTGATGTGTTCTGATACTGAACATTATGTTGTAGAAGTTCAGGTAAAGTATCTTCCAGATTTATTCCATATGCCATGTTCTGCTCATATATGTATTTGAAGAGAAATTTCCACTTAACTTAGCACATGAGTCTTTTAAAGGATGACCCCATAGGAAAAAAAAAAATCCTTCCATTAGTAGTTGGTTCCAGGAAGGGTTCTGGCCCACAGGGATGATTAACTCTGCTATGGGACACATGGAAGAAATTAAATAAGTTTTTGAAACCAAAACCATGTGTCTGAACAGACAGTATGCTTCTGGGTTGATAGATGAGTTAGGACTCATCAAATCAGACTTGCCAGACACCTGATCCAGGATCAAGGCAGGAGTTCCCTCCATGAACTAGGAACTCCCTGTAGTCCTGCAGGGCTGACCTTTGCTGAATTATATTCCCTCCTAGTTGAGAGAAAAAGAAAAAGATCAAGACCTGTGAATTTGAAAAGATGAATATTCTGTACCCCATATAATAATTATAGGTCATAGGGTACCTAGGCCTGCTGGAAAAGCTGCTGACTGTTACAGGGAAGGAGCCTTGGGCTTAGAAGGGTAAATTTCTGGGCAGTAGTGATGTTGACAGTGCAGCTGGTGAAGTTACTTGCTGTGACTGCTCTGGCCGAGGCCTTGGCTCATGGGCAGGGGCTGGTCCTGGATCTCCCCTGTTGAGCTCACCCAGTCAAGGAGAGTCTAATGGCTTTCCTGGTCAGGGAGGGGAGGGTATAGTCTTTAGGCTTTGTGGGAGCTGAGTGGGTTTATTGGTCAGCCAGTCAGAGGTCTCAAGATCATCACTGGGAAACCTGGCTCCGGTAGTGGGTAAAAGTGGCTTGAGGGTCCAGCCTCTCAGGTTGGGTGGGCATTGGGAGTCAGCCCCCAGCACAGCTGCGAGGCCCCAGGGGAGCGGGTCCAGCTTGAAGGGTCCTGTAAGACACCCAGTAGCAGATCTGTATAAAGTCGATGATCTTTAGGTCTTGACTCTGCTCTTCAAGGGTTATAAACCCAAAAGGAGGTCAGGACATTTTCTAGAACAGCTTCTTGATCCTCTCTTTCCCCTGAGAGTCAAAGAATGAGAGAGATACCCGGCTTCAGCTTTGTGTAATTTTGAGGTTCAATTGCATTTTTTAAAAAGATTTATTTGGGGGCACCTGGGTGGCTCAGTTGTTGAGCATCTGCCTTTGGCTCAGGTCATGTTCCCAGGGTCCTGGGATCAAGCCCCGCATCGGGCTCCCTGCTCTGTGGGAAGCCTGCTTCTCCCTCTCCCACTCCGCCTGCTTGTGTTCCCTCTCTGGCTGTCTCTCTGTCAAATAAAATCTAAAAAAAAAAAAAAAAAAGAGAGAGAGCACCAGCAGGCCGGGGGTGGGGGGAGTGCAGAGGGAGAGGATCTTCAAGCAGACTCCCCGCTGAGCACAGAGCCTGACGTGGGACTCAATCCCACGACCCATGAAATCATGACCTGAGCTGAGACCAAGAGTCGGATGCTTAACTGACTGAGCTACGCAGGCGCCCCAGTTCAATTGCATCTTTTTTTCAAAATGATATCCTTAAGATCTTGAAGATACCATAGGTTTTTTTGTTTTTTCTTTTTTTGGATATCGTAGGATTTACCCTTTCTTTCTTCTTTGTGTCTTAGGTACAGGAAGAGGGCTGATGAGCAAAACATCCCTGCGGGTGAGAATTTCTCTTATCCTTGAAACCTAATGCAGATTTTGCTGCTTTGCTTTTGTGGTTCAAATCAAGTGAATTAAAAATATTTCAGATACACAGCCATTTTTTACCTAATGATAGATTTGAATACAATTGTGTCAGTTAGCTTTAAGTTTGCTGCATAGAGGAGACAGACCCAAAGTAACAGCAGAAGTTTATTTTGCTCTCAAGTAAACAAGCCTGGCTGGGCAGACCTGGGCTGGTGTGGTGATCCCATGGCCGTTCGAGGCCCAGACTCCTCCCAGCTCTCTGTCCACATCCTAGAGGAAGCCCCACACCCTCAGGTCCAGGGAATAGCTCCTGGAGCTTGAGCAGCAAGATGGAACAAGGGGGTGAGGAAGGGCAGGTCTCCTTCTTTTAAGAAAATTCCAGGCCTGGGCGCCTGGGTGGCTCAGTTGGTTAAGCGACTGCCTTCGGCTCAGGTCATGGTCCCGGAGTCCTGGGATCGAGTCCCACATCGGGCTCCC